AGTAGTTTTGATTTGCATCTCTCTTAGAGCTAGGGATTTTGAACATTTTTTCATGTGTTTGTTGGCCATCTGAATGTCTTCTTTGGTGAAGTGTCTGTTCATATCCTGTGCCCATTTTTCGATTGGATTATTTATCTTGTTGTGATACTTAAGTATTTTATAAATTCTGGATATAAGTCCCTTATATGATATGTGATTACCAAATTCTTTTCCCCAGTCTGTGGCTTCCCTTTTTACCCTGTTGGAGAAGTCTTTGGATGTGCATAGGGATTTGATTCTTAGAAGGTCCCTTTCATCAATTTTATCCTATCCTGGTTGTAGATTTTTCAGGATGCTAGGAAGTTGCTTATGTTGTGGGTTAGGACTTCTAGAGTTCTTCCAAGCTTTTCTTTAATGAAGTTCATAGTCCTTGGTCTTAGTCCTAAGTCCATGATCCACCTAGAGTTGATTTTTGTGTATGGAACGAAGTGTGGATCTTGCTTGAGTCTTCTGCAGATAGTTCTCCAATTTTGCCAGTTCGTTAACAAGGCTGTCGTTTCCCCACATTAACTGATTTAATCTCCTTGTCAAAAATCAGTTGACCATAGGCAGATGGGCTGACTTTCGGGTTCTGAATTCTATTCCATTGAACTATGTGTCTGTCATTGTACCAGTACCACGCAGTCTTGACCACCACGTCAGTGTAGTAGGATTTGAAATCAGGCAGTGAGATGCCTCCTTCCTTGTTTCTATTTTTAAGGAGTGCTTTGCTTATTTGGGGCTTCCTTCCATTCCAAATGAAACTGGAGATTGCTTTTTTCATCTCGTTCTTTTGAAAGCCTTGATATGTCCTAATACCACAATTCAATACCAAAAAGGCATCAAGTTTCTTGTTTTTCCTTATGCATTATTCATCTTTCACATGCAAATGAGGTGATTAAAAATATTATGACATGGGTAAGGTCTACCTTATATGAATTAATAAAGTACAAAGAATATCACATAAATGGGTAAAAAAAAATCAGTTTACTAGTTTAAATAGAAAAAAACCCCAGAAATTAAATGTGTGTATACATATTAGAATATATATATACATATATATATATATACACACACACACACACATATATATAAATATATATACATATATATAAAGTAATATTAGGGATAAATACTTCAATATACATAATACTTGTGTAGGAAAACAGATAATAACTTGTGCAAAGAATTAGACATAATTGAAGAAAGATGTAGATAAATAAAATGTAGTAAATACCCAATGGGGGGGAGGGCTGGGCAGGGAGAAAAGTGCAACAATGAGTGAATGGAAATCCAAAATCTCTGTAAATGTTCATTAAAATTAATAAAATAAAATCTAAAAAAAAGAATATTGATTTAGCATGTTGTTGTTGTTATGTGCCATCGAGTCCTTTGCGACTCCTAGCGACCCTATGTACAACAGCCCTAAACCCTGCTCTATCCTGTGCCAATCGCACTGCCTCTATGTTTCTGAAAGCTGGACTGTAACTAAGGATGACAGAAGAAGTATCAATACCTTCGGACTGTCCTGGAGAAAAGTGAAACCAGGGTGATCCTTGAAGGGAAAGATAGTGAAACTCCATCTCCCATCCTTTGGACATGTCGTCAGGAGAGATTAGTCTTCGGAAAAGGACATCATGCTTGGAAGGGTAGAATATCAGTACAAAAAAGGAAGACCTTCAATGATATGGATTAACATGAGTGACGGTGGCAAAGGGATCAGGTATGTTAGATATGATGAGGTTGAGTCATATTAGGGCATTTACAGCCATTGTCAATAGGGTCAGTATAAGTCATAGTTGACTTTATGGCACTCCGTAATAACTACTGTGAAAGGTCACAAATCTTCATCCAGTAGTTGTTTTTCAAAGAGCTTGCAACCTGCTACCATATCAGGGGAGTTCTGAGGAGCAGCTTCTAGTATATCACTGGGCATCAGGATCAGAATTCTGCCACTTTCTGTACCCTATATATATATCCACTTAACAGATATTTCCATTGTTGTCTGAGCTCTAAGACTTTGCTTAGGAAGGGTCAATCTCTGGAAAAAAATCATGTTTGGAAACATAGTGACAGTAGCAATGGTCTACTAGACATGGTAACATCCTAAGGATGGAGCATGATACACTAAAGTTCTGACCCAATTTTAAAGGCAGGCTATGAAGTTTAGTTAATGCAATGATAACTGTTTGTGTGTTCATGGAGTTGAGACACCAGAAAGAAAAAATGTGGGTTTTCAGAGGGTCACCACTCTCTCAGGCAAATGATGCTGAGAGATTGTGTAGCCCTGCTTTTATTAGCAGGAAATTAAAGCTTACAGTAAAACATAATCTCGTTGTTGTTGTTGTTATGTGCTGTCAAGTCGCCTGCGATTCATAGCGACCCTATGTACAACAGCCCTAAACTCTGCTCTGTCCTGTGCCAATCGCATTGTCTCTGACACTCCCATCCCGATTATCCCAGTCACTGAATCAATCCACCTCATAGAGGGCCTTCCCCTCCTGCGTAGTCCCTCCACCCTCC